ATTTATTTTTTAGTTCTCGGCGGACACAACATCTTTGTTGGTATGTGGTGCTGAGGATCGAACCCGGGCCGCACGCATGCCAGGCGAGCGCGCTACCGCTGAGCCACATCTCCAGCCCCATAAATTTTTATTTTTTTTTATATATATATATTTTTAGTTGTTGACGGGCCTTTATTTATTAATTTATATGTGGTGCTGAGAATCGAACCTAGTGCCTCATACATGCTAGACAAGCGCTCTACCACTAAGCCACAACCTCAGCCCCATGTTTTTTTTATTTTTGGTACTGAGGATTGATCTGGAGGTACTAAACCATGAGCCACATCCTCAGCCCCTTTTTATTTTATATTTTGAGGCTGGCTTTGAACTTGTGATCCTCCTGCCTCAGCCTCCGCAATTGCTGGGGATTTTGTAATGCCAAACTATTTCCTAAAACGACTATACCAATGTATACTCCCTTCCAGGAGTGTGCGTGCACTTCAGTTCTGTCTTCACGAATATTTAGTATTATCAGATACTTTAATTTTTTCTCAGCTTAGAGGGGCATACGGTTTCCATTTCTTTGTTTCCCAGAAGCCCAATTAGGCTCATCATCTTTTCATGTCTATTAGACATCTGAATTCTTTTTTGTGCAGTGGCTGTTCAATTGGGYCTCTTCTGTCCATTTTCCTAGTAGATTGATTGTTTTCTTATTGATTTGTAGAAGTCCTACATATTCTGATACTTTCTTTTCTTATTCTATTTATTTATTTATTTATTTGGTCGACACAATATCTTTACTTTACATGTATGTGATGCTGAGGATCGAACCCAGTGCCTCGTGCATGCTAGGCAAGCACTCTACCACTGAGCCACAACCCCATTCCCTATTCTGATACTTTCTAATGACCCATTTCCTAAGGAATCTTTCAAATCCTCCCATGCTCCCCTCTTCACTTTAACCCATACTTTCTACAGCACACATAGAAGAATTGAAGGAGGGATTTCTGATTTGAGTATGAATGTATTAACTATGCATGCTCTCAGTTTCCTCTTAGTAGGGCTGATTCATACAGTTAATGGAAGGGATCTGACCCCAACCTACCATCCCCAGTCCTGCGAATTCAATACCTCTTTATTGGGTAGATCCAGAACTATGGATGCCAAACTCAAAATTCCTTCTTTTCAATGAAGAACTGAAGACTCTAGGAACTTCATGAGCTTCTGTTTAACAACTTAAAATTTTTTTAAAACTAGAGAGGAGGAACAGGGATGTAGCTCAATGGTATAGYGCTTGCCTAGCATGTGCAAGGCCCTAGGTTTGATCCCCAGGACTGAGGCAGGGGACTGGAAAGTACAGCTTACACATCAGCAAGTATTTAAACAGACACAGTAAAAGCACTAGGGTGAGACTGATCTAAAAAGCTGAATATGAGCTGGAGATGTGACTCAGGGGTAGAACACATGCCTGGCATGAGCAAGGCCCTGTTTTTTTTTCTTTTGTTGTTGTTTTAATATTTATTTTTAGTTATAGTTGGAAACAATACTTTTATTTTGTTTACTTATTTTTATGTGGTGCTGAGAATCGAACCCAGGGCCTCACACGTGCTAGGCGAGTGTGCTGCTGCTGCTGCTGAGCCACAACCCCAGCCCAAAGCCCTGGTTTTGATCTCTGGTGCAAAAAGAAAAGAAAGAAAAAGAAAAAATTATTTGTACCCTCAAAAGCTGAATATGTTCTCAGCTTCAAAATCCAAATAGCAGCTACCTTCCCCCACTGCTCACTGTTTGGATCTCATTCCCGATACTCACATTTATTGCCTCGAACAGCATAAGCAAGCTTTAGTTCTGGATGAAATTTGCCCATCTGCTCAATCACTTTTCCTGTTTGAAGTGCCAATTCATATGTAGGGGAGAGGCACAGACACTGACAGAAAAATCATACAGGATGAGTTTAGTAGCAGAAAATAGGTTCTAACACAAGTATGTAGTTATTATGACTTGAACAATGCAGGGAGTCACAACCTCCCACTTTCCAATAGTGGACTGAAGTCTTCAGTAGGGAGCCCTAGCTTGATGGGATCCCTGGCATGGTGGAGGCCTTTGTAAGACGCTGCTTTCAAATGAATTCTACTAGGTTGAGGCCTGGTGTGTTAATCTGTTCTGCCTGAGCCATGGCCTAGGCTGTCAGTAAAGGCCAGGGTTCTCATTAATCCTCCCACCAAATGGCTCCTTCCCAGGGCAGGCAAGCCCCCACCCCCAGGCTTCCAAGCCCTCACCTGAGGGTATCTGTCTGCTGGTTCTACTCTGCTAAGCATGGCCAGGACAAAGGCAGCTGTTTTTCCAGTGCCAGACTGAGACTGGGCAATCAGGTTCTGTGGACTGGATTGACAAAGAGCAAAAAAGAAATAAATATTGGTTGAACATAATAAAATATCAAAATGTTCTTTCTGGGTAGAAGGAATATTTCCCTCTTTATGCTTCTCTGTATTATCTAGATCTTCTGCATTGAATGCAAATTACTTTAATATATTTTTATGTTATTTAAAAATTTAAATAGTCAAGGAAATGATTGTTTTAGATGGGTACACACACACACACACACACACACACGCAAATCCTCATTCTTGACTCTAGCATAACTAAAGTGCCCTAGTTTTATATCCCAAGGGCTCCAGGGAAATCAAAAGTACAGAGCAGATCTGTGCCAGACAAGTCCCCATTTTCTGCTGAGCCATARTGTGTCTTGGATCTTGGCTCCTTCTGCACTTTCCCTTTTCATATCTTGTTRTTATTTTTTTTTKGGGGGGGGGTGGTTGGGTGGGTAGTGCAGCACTGAGGATAAACCAGGGCCTTCCACATACTAGGTAAGCACTTTAAAAAAAATATATTCATTTTTTAGTAATAAGTGGACACAATATCTTTATTTTATTTTTATGTGGTGCTGAGGATCTAACCCAGTGCCTCATGCATGGTAGGTGAGCCCTCTACAGCTGAGCCACAACCCTAGCCCTAGGCAAGCACTCTTAACATTGAGCTCATTCACAGTCCTTTCATTTAAATTTTACTGAGACAGAACCTCACTAAATTGTCCTAGCTGGCCTCAAACTTTCAATCCTCCTGCCTCAGCCTTTCAAGTCATTGGGATTATAAATATGCCTGTCTATTCTTTCTTAATGGGGGTGGGGGAAAGCAACTTAATGAAGTCTTAAACAACATAGCATAACCTTGTTTCAAAATAAAAAATAAGGGGCTGGGGTTATAGCTCAGTGGTAGAGCACTTTCCTAACACGTGATGAGGCACTGGGTTCAATCCTCAGCACCACATAAAAGTAAATAAATGAAATAGCTGGGCGAAGTGGTGCACGCCTGTAATCCCAGCAGCTCGGGAGGCTGAGACAGGAGAATTTTGAGTTCAAAGCCAGCTTCAGCAACGGCAAGGCGCTAAGCAACTCAGTGACACCCTGTCTCTAAATAAAATACAAAATAGGGCTGGGGATGTGGCTCAGTGGTCCAGTGCCCCTGACTTCAATCCCTGATACCTCCCCGCCCCCCAAAATGTAAATAAATAAAATAAAGGTATTGTGTTCATCTATAACTAAAATATTATTTTCAAATAAATAAAAGAGCTGGAGATGTGGCTCAGTGTAAAATACCCCTGGGTTCAATCCCCAGGACCCACCCACCCCAAGAACAACCAAAGAAAGAAAAAAAGAAAACTAAAATGTTCAGCTATAATGTTGCTGCATAAAGTATGACACCATTTAAACTTTAATAATGTGCAAACTATTCCTCAGAGTTTAGTGACATATAAATATCTAGTGAAAGTATAAAGAAACCTGAGGGATAATGATGCACTTCAGGATGGAGCTCACTTTGGAGGGGGCGGGAGAGGACATGAAGGGACAGTTAAGACAGGAGCACTGACTATCAACTGGAGTCTTGTTTTTTKTTTTTTTTTTTTTAAATAAACATCTTTATTTTTATTTATTATTTTCTTTTTTTTTTTAAATATTTTTTATTTTTATTTTTTTTAGTTATCGGTGGACACAACATCTTTGTTTGGTATGTGGTGCTGGGGATCGAACCCGGGCCGCACRCATGCCAGGCAAGCGCGCTACCGCTTGAGCCACATCCCCAGCCCCTTATTATTTTCTTATGTGTTGCCGAGGATCAAACCCAGAGCCTCCTGTGTGCAAGGCAAGCGCTCTGCCACTGAGCTTCAACCCCAGCCCTGGAGCCTTGTTTTATTACTTGGCAAGGAAAAGCTATTTAGTAGGATACGGCTCTTCGTACTTTAGCTAATTCAATTTTTAAAAACCCAAGTTTAGCTGGGCATGGTGGCACATATCTGTAATCCCAGCAATTCAGGAGGCTGAGGCAAAAGGATCACAAGTTCAAGGTCAGCCTCAGCAAATTAGAAGGATCCTGTCTCAAAATCAAAAATTTTAAAAAAGAGCTGGGGGTATAGCTTAGAGGTAGAGCACCTCTGGGTTCAATTCCCTGTAACAACAACCTCTACTCCCCCAAATTTTAAAACTGTGTAAAATAATGGCACTCTTAGTTTTTAGTGCTAAACAGGAAAGACAGGAACTATGCCTAAATCCATGTTCTCAGTACTTGCCCAAGCTCTTTTCCAGAAGAAACATGTTGCCCCAAACTACCCATTTTGTACTCAGATAATAAAAGCTAAATTTAATTTCAGTTAAATCAGATTGGGAAGAGGGGTCTTGGGTCTGCACTCACGGTTCAGCAAGCATCATGGGTAACGCATTCTCTTGTATCTTGGATGGTCGATTGAAACCCATGGCATAGACTCCCTGGAGAAGCTGTGGCTTCCTAGGAGTAAAAGCAAAGACAAGATGGGTTTCAAATAGTTGAAACTAGTTTAAAGGCCTCTAATCTTACCTTTTCCTACATCTAGCAAGGAATGATGAATGATGCCTTAAAAAATACTATTTAAAGTCAACTCAAACCACCATCTTTACCTACTAAGATATATATATGTGTATTTTTTTAAAAATATTTTTTAGTTGCCAATGGATTTTTTACTTTGTTTATTTATATGTGGTGCTGAGGATCAAACCCAGGGCCTTCACACATGCTAGGGAAGCACTCTACTACTGAGCCACAACCCCAGTCCAATACATTTTTTTTATCTGTTCTAACCCTACTAAATTTTAATCTGCAACTATTATATAATTCATAAAATAAAGACTGGTTTCCTTTTTTGGAGAAATTCATGCTTTTAGCAGACCCACAAATCGGCTGGTCTTGGATGACAAGTGTTCCCTGCGTACAGCAGAGCAGTATTTACTAATTCATAGCATAATAAATTATAAAAGAAATATCTAAAAATAAATAGTTCTTGCAATACTGCTAAGATGTAGAAATCTTCCTAGAGAATGGATTTCAGTTTTTATTTCTTGGTGCACATGTTAAAACTTGAGCCTCAAAGGCTGGGGATATAGCTCACTGGTAGGGTGCTTGCTCAGCAAGTGTGAGGCCCTGGGTTCAATCCCCAACACTACACAAAAATTTAAAATTGAATCACAGTCCTTTTGTGTTCCACACTCCTTCTAARGCCAGCTCTGCAAATACACTAGATAACCAAGAGGTAAGAATATTGATTACGCCAGTTTCTAATAGCTAATGTAGAATAGATGACTTTAATTATGTTTAATCAAAGTAAAAAATAAAAAAGCACCAAATTCTTATATAAGTAGCCACACAAAAGAATATCAATTAAACTACCCTTACATTCCATTTACAATGAGCTCTCTGTTATCTCTAAACTGACAGGACATTTGACAAAAACCACAACAGATTGTTTCTGAAGAAAAGCCAAACTGCATCAAGACTTCTGTTTTCGAAGCCTTCCCTGGAGGCTAACAGGCTCTCTAAAAGGCAAATGCTGCCACATGTTTCTCAGATATGCAGAACTTAAAAAAAAAAAAAAAAAAGAAATGCTTGGTATTTTTTGTTGGGAAAATAAAGCAGCTTCTTATTTAGTTATTAAGGAACAAAGTCATACCTAATTGGGATTCATATAATCTGATAGCTTTCACTGGATTATTATTTTTCTTTTATTTTGCAGATTATTTCAAATCTTTTAAATAAACAGCCCAAATGCTGGGAATGGTGCCACACATCTGTAATCCCAGGAACTCAGGAGGCTGAGGCAGGAGGATCACAAGTTGGAGGTGAGTCTCAGCAACTTATCAGGGACCTGCATAAATCATCAGTGATACCCTGTCTCAAAAAATTAAAAAGGCTAGGGATGTAGCTCAGTGGTAAAGGCCCCATGTGTTCAATCCCAAGTACCAAGACAAAACAAAGGCCCCAAGTACATTAGGTGACCTACTTCCTGTTCTTTGCTTCTTCTGACTTCCAACAATTGAATTTGAAAGAACTTGCCTTTTTTGGTACTGGGGATTAAATTCAGGAGTGCTTTACTACTGAGCTACATCTCCAGCTGTGGGAAGCCATTCTCCCATGTGATTTGAGTTACCTCCCTGGCCGGGTGAGAGGCGCTTAGACACCGCCATGTCAGAGCCTTCCCCACCCTGTCTCAGGTGCGAGGGCTTGTCCGAGTGGGGGTGTGCCTGACCACTGACCTGAAGACCAATCACTGACCCTGACCTTGGAATGCTGCCCCCCTCGACCTTCATTGGATTAAATTTTCCCTTGAATTTTTTGTTCCCCAATAAAAGCTCACTCCCTGGCGTGTTCCCTCTCTCTCGTGGCCTCTTGTGTTAACCTTGCTTCGACATTAGATGGCTGGAGGCAGGAGCTAGGAGGAGCCGTCTCTGAGCTGGGCAAATAAGGTAACGAAAGTTATGTCTCTTTAATTTTAAAACTCACTAGTTAATTTTTATGCCTTCAAACCTCTATTATGAAGCTAGCGTGCTGGTCGCGTGGCTGATCCAGCCCTTTTTTAAATTTTGAGACAAGGTCTCACAAACTTGCTGAGGCTAGGAAAAGTTTATTTCTTGAAAACCTTAAAAGTTACACTTTAAAATCACAATTACTTTGTATTATGATCTAGATCTGAAATGCCCTGAGTCTTGTATTTTGAAAACTTGGTCTCAAATGCAGCAAAGTCCAGGGATAGGGCTATTTTAAGAAACTGTTGAATCAAGAGGGCTCTAATCTCATCGGGGATYAGTACATTTGTGAATGAACTATTGGGAGGTGATGGAAACTGTTGGCAGGTGGGACATGGGGGGAAGGAGTAACTCACTGAGGGGCATGTCCTTGGGAAATATATTTTATCAGTGATTCCTTCCATTCTCCCCTTCTCTCTGCTTCCTGCCTGCCCTGAGCTGAGCAGGTTTCCTCCTCCACACCCTTTTACCATGAGGCTCTGTCTTACCTCAGGCCCAAAGCAATGAAGCCAGCCAAACATGGACTAAAATCTCTGAAAATGTAAGCCAAAATAAAATTTTCTTCCTCTAGGTTATTTTTCTCAGATATTTGTCACAGTGACAAAAAACAGATTAATACATTTCACTAACAACTAGTTAGCTCTTATTTTCAATGTGTCTTACTCAGTGGTATTAGACAGCAGGAATTTAGCCTCTATTTGCCCAGAGGGACACACTAGATTTTTCTAAACAAAGGCAAATAATCCATTTATTCCACCACATTCTTATTCACCAGCTATTTTCTGTCTATGATTTGGATCCTGGCAGACAGAAAGAATGGTAGGTATGTGATGTACTCCTCGAAAAAACCTGCACAGTGGCATATACATGAAGCAATCATCCATAAATACCATTCTACTAATTTACTGAAGAAAACAAAGCATGTGGAATGACCCTCATAATTCTCTACCTTTTTTTTTTTTTTTTAAAGCGAGAGAGAGGGAGAGAGAATTTTTTTTTTGTTTTCGGTGGACACAACATCTTTGTATGTGGTGCTGAGGATCGAACTTGGGCCGCATGCATGCCAGGCGAGCGTGCTACCACTTGAGCCACATCCCCAGCCCTAATTCTCTACCTTTTAAAATAATGACATTAAAAGGCTTTCTTAGCACACCAGGAAGARGCTACCTTAAGGCTTGATTCTGGGGTTTTCTTAAAATTTAGAAACAATAAAATTTGCTTTCCACTCTAATACTGAGAATCCAGGCTCTTTTCAGACTTTCTATACACAGATAAACTGTTCTTAAGACTGTATACCCTACAATCTAACAAAAGGGCTTACCTAATAAGAAATGTTCCTGATATCCAGAAATCACCTGTCAGCCAATATTTTATTGAAAGTTCTAAGAGCATAAAAGAAAAGAGACTTTCAGCTATGATGAATAAATCTGTGGCATTTAAAATCTCTACCAAGAAAGTCAGGCCCAGAGGTGCACACCTTTAATACCAGTTTCCCAGGAGGCTGAGATGGGAAGCTCCCTTGAGCCCAGGAGCTGGAGGCCAGCCTGGGCCACAAAGAGAGAAAGAGTCTCAAAAAAACCAAGAAAACTGGATAGCCAAGAAAGGGGTGGGAGACCATCACTGTAAACTTGTTCATTCGTTTTCACTTCTGAATTGTGCATTATTACCTACTCAGAGAAGTAAATACATTAAAAAATTTAAAGCAAATTAAAAAGTAAAATCCTCACAAGAATTTCTTATGTACTAGTTTTATAGGGGCATAGTTGGGAAGAAAAAGTTGTTCAAAGCCATGGATACTCACAGTCGAAGCTCTTCAAAAGACTTCACTGAGTAGAGCGGGGAGTTCGGATCCCGCTGCAGGACTTCCACTTGGTTAGTGTTATCCACAAGGTTGCTTCGGATCAGCTTGTTGAGTAAAGACTGGGCAGCTCTGTCCTCTGTCAGGAAGAAACTAGCAGATTTTCTCTATACTCACCAGGCAAACTCCACCCTTGTAAGAGCCCACTCTTCCCCTCTGCACCTCTGCACCAGCACCTGGGCAACCAAGCATGGCTGGAGAAAAACATGATCACACTGACAAGCCTCCTTTTTTTTGTTTTTAGTACTAGGGATTGAACACAAAGGCACTTATCACTGAGCCACATTCCCAGTCCTTTTTTATTCTGAGACAAGGTCTCATTAAGTTGTTTAGGGTCTTGCTAAATTGCTAAGCCTGGCTTTGAGCTTGTGATCTTCCTGCCTCAGCCTCTTGAGTTGCTGGATCACAGGTGTGCAACACCATGCCCTGCTCTCCCTTTAAATTCTTCACCACTAGATTCAAATGGGCTGAGTTGCCCAACAAGTCTTTGTTTTCATAGTCCACTCGTTCATCCTTCTTCTCAAACCTCCAGCTATAACTCCTCTTTTCTCAACTTTTTAACTTCTCCACATTCCCATTCATGACCACAACTACACATCTACCCATATCTACATAACTATCCTCCACCTCCCATCTAGTACCTAGATAAACAGCTTGTGCTCTTAAGGCTAAGCCTCTGCTTATCTGAAAGTTCTCATTCTTTCCTGCCCACAAGGGTATGTCTCCTCATTTTCTCATGCATTTCACTTTCCCCCTTTACTGGACCATTCCTAGGAGCAAGTGAGCCTGTTTTAACATCTRTGTTCATAAATGTGTTTCTTCCTTTACCTCACAATCCCCATTCCGCTACTGTTAGAGTTCACTACTCCAGTTTCTGGAACATTCCATAAAAGAGCTGTCTATATTCATTTTGCTTTCTTTCCCTCCTTTCTACTGTACACTGAATGAGCTTTTTTCTTTTTTTTTTTTTTTAAACCTCGCCATTTGACCTCAATAGTCCTTGGAAAGCTCAACAATGATTTCCACACCACAAAATCAGTTTAATGGTCAATTTCTAGTTTCTCTTTTTTGAGACAGGATCTCACCATATGGCCCAGGCTGTCCTCAAACTCCCAGGCTCAAGTGATCCTTCTGTTTCAGCCTCCCTAGTAGCTCGGACTATAGAAAAGTACTACCACAGCCAGCTCCAGTTCTTCTCTTAATCAACTTTTTACCCATAGCTGACACCCTACTTTTGTAATACKTCCTCTGGCTTCTAGGACATCATGCTCCTGATTTTCACTCTATCTCACTGACTGCTCCTTCTCAATCTCCTTTGCTGAGTCTTCCTCTTCAACTTGATCTCATAACTCAGCCTCTGGGTCCAGGAAGGCAAGCGCCAGGTTATATTCCATCTCTTGCCATGGGGCTTCAAAAAGTAGTTACCTTTCTCTTCTTCATCTGTCTTCTCTGCAGTGGTACTGGTTTTGATAACACCTACACAAGAAAACACATGTCACTAAACAGGCAAATATTAAACTTAAAAGGTGGGACAATAGCTGGGCAAAGTGGCACTCACCTATAATCCCCAGTAGCTAGGGAGGCTAAGACAGGAAAATCACAAGTTCAAAGCCAGCCTCAGCAACAGCTGGGCGCTAAACAACTCAGTGAGACCTGTCTCTAAATTAAATAAAATACAAAATAGGACTGGGGATGTGGCTCAGTGGTTGAGAGCCCAAGTTTAATCCCCGGTACCCCATCCCCTACCAGAAAAAAAAAAAAGTAGGACAACAGAAACACTAAAACTTATTTAAGTGACCCAAATATAAATAGTTGGCATTTCTTTATGTTTAATGGATTTTATATCTAGCAATTCTTTWAGTGTATAGAAATTCAAGCTAACTTAATATATCACTTCTGAATTATCCTAAGTTAAAAATACAGCATTATGTTAGCAAACACAATCCAACAATTTTTACCTTTTAGACTGGCAAAATTATAAAAGTTTGGGGCTGGGGATGTGGCTCAGGTGGTAGCATGCGCATCTGGCATGTGTGAGGCACTGGGTTTGATCCTCAGTACCATACAAAAATAAAGATATTGTGTCCACCTAAAACTAAAAAATAAATTTAAAAAAAATTCTAAGTTTGATTAAACATCATGATGGTGACAGGAGAAAAAAGGGAGAATTTATATTTGTATTTGCTTTGCTCAAAAAACCGATGAAGACTACTGAAAATCCAGGAACAGTGGTTACTTATGGGATGGTATATGTTATAGGTACAATTGTGTCCTCTCAAAATTCATATGTTCCGGTCCTAACACCTAGTGCCTCATAATGTGACCTTATTTGGAGATGGGGGTCACTGAGAATAAAAAAATTTAAGCTAAGATCAGAGTATGCCCTGCTCCAATAAGAATGAGTCCTTATAAAAGAGAAACTTAGGGATACAGCTCAGTGACAGAGCACTTGCTGAGCCTGATTGTGGCCCTGGATTCAATCTTCAGCACTGCCAAAAGGGGAAAAAAAGGAGGGGGGATGGCACTTGGACATCAGACACAAAGAGAATGCCAGGTAAAAATAAAAGGAGAGATGGGGGTGATGCTGGAACATCAAAGACTACAAACACACCACAAGAATGCTGGGGAGAGGCAACAGAATAGTCTTCCTCATAATCCTCAGAAGAGACCAACCCTGCTGATACCTTGATATTGGAATTCCAGCTTCCCAAACTGTGAGACAATAAAGTGCTGTGGTTTAAGCCACCCAGCTCTGTGATACCTTGTTAGAGCAGGCCCAGCAAATAAACACACGTGGCAGTAGGAACAGGGTAAACATTGGAGCAGCATGGGAAGGAAGCCTTGTATATTTTTATATATTTTGAGTTTTAAACCTAGACATACTTTCAAAAAGTTAAAAACTGATATATTCCCCTTTAGTAATGAATTCTAATTTAGGACTCTCAATTCCAGCTCCGGCATTTGCCAAATATTACACTGAAGAAAAGAGTCATGGCTTGCTGCAGCTGTGAGTGCAAAGCAGACACACACATGTCACTTGTACCTAGCCTGTGGTTTCTAGTGACTCACCATTGGTATCTGGTTTGACCTTCTCTTCCTTGATCTGCAAACTGCTCATCTGAATAGGAATAAAAAGAAACAGAGTAAGCAAATGACCTAAGCAAAGGAAGGCCTCTGAGCAAAACAGAAGCTCCCTAGTGAAAGTCTGACAAGAACTACTGCAGAACTATATTCAGAGAGCTGGTCTGTTCTGCTCAAAGCAGAAGTGCTAAAAGCATGAGCAAAAATGTTTCCTGTATCTTCAACAACCTAAGAAAAGGAATGATAGCTGGGCATGATGGTGCATGCAAATATTCCTAGAAACTTAAGAGGCTGAGGCAGGAGGATCATTAGTTCAAGGCCAACCTGGGTAACTTAGTGAGACTCTGGCTCAAAATAAAAAATAAAAGGGCTGGTAATGTAGGTCAGTGGTAGAACACTTGCCTAGCATGCATGAGTGTCTGGGTCCATTCCCCAGGTCCGCCATAAAGAATAAAAATAGAAAGGAAAGAAAAAAATTAAAAAGAAAACCTTAAGCCCTGAGTCTACAACGGGCATGCATGACAACACTTCATCAGTGTTACTATTTGTTGCTGTAGGAATTAAGCACATCCTACAGACTTCACTGGCAGAGCACTCTTAAAAGGTTGTACCTGATTTCCTCTGAACTTTGCCTCTGGAACCTTTTCCTTTTGCTAATTTTGCTTTCTATCTTTTCACTGTAATAAATCATAGCCGTGAGCACAAGTATATACTGAGTCTTTATGAGTCATCCTAACAAATCATCAAACTTGTAAACTTCAAGAAAGTCTTAAGAGATGTTTACCAAGATGTTGCCTTTTCTCAAATTCAGAACATCCAAATATGAATTCACCACTCTCCATATCAAAATCATCCTTCCTGGGATGGGGTTGTGGCTCAGTGGTAGAGCGCTTGCCTAGCATGCGTGAGGCACTGGGTTCAATCCCTGGCACCACATAAAAATAAACAAATAAAATAAAGGTATTGTGTCCATCTTCAACTAAAAAAAAATATTTAAAAAAAAAATCATCCTTCCTCCTACTTCCCCATTCCTGTTACTAGCACTTTATTAACGATGCCTATCAGATCCAGCTTGAACATAGTAAGCTTTGGTATTATTTCCCTTCTCTTTTTTTTTTTCCTATTATGTTAGCATATCCTGCTTAGCTCACCTCCACGGTATTTCTTGATCCCATCACCTCATCTTCATTTCCATTGTTCAACATATGCCCTCTACTTCTAAGATATCAGGATAACTTCCCCACTGATCTCCTTTCCTCTAGACATCATTCCTTCTACCACATTCTGTTCCCTGCAATCCAATATATCTCGCCGACCCTCAGATATAATTTGTCAATATCCCTTTTGTAAAACATCCCCAAATTTACCAAATAAAGCTTTTTTTCCTCTTCAAATTCTTCATTAAGTTCCAAGTAAGATCCTCTGCAATATCTTCTA